CCCCCCCCCCCCCCCATCCTGTCCCCATTAAATTATCCTTTTTCATTTAAAATTGTTTTAAATTTATTTTGTATAAAAAATAAAGTGAAATTTAAAAATAGAATTTATATATTTATGAATTACATCTATAGTTCTATAAATAAGATGTAGTATGAATATATTATTTTATGAAATGTGTATCAAAAATTAATAATGAAATTAATTAAAATTTGATTTTAAAATAATGAACGAACAACTTAAATTAGAATGTAGAGATAACATATTAGACGACCTCCACCCTGCTCATAGCCGATGTGGCCAACATCCACCCGGGTGTGCGGTGTTGTGCGAGTCGCCCGTCTCTCGCACACTGCAGCTCATCCGTCCCCATGGATGAATTTGCTGTAACTGGTTTCTCTGTGGCCGCAATGGGCCTTGTGAACCTAGTCACAGAGTCTAGGTAATAGATTTATTTATTGAAAAAATTCACACCATTACTCCCTGAATTACACAATTTTATATAAATACTCCGAAATTTAGTTAATGACGTCAATACTCCCAAAATTTTCATATGTTTACATCGCTGCTCTAAGAACATTATATGTTTATATCTATGCTCTAAATGTTGGGGCACCGATGTAAACATATTTCAATATTGGAGTATTGATGTAAACATACAAAAATTCGGGGAGCATGGGTGTCATTTATTAAATCTCGGAGTATTTATGAAAAATTATGCAATTTTGGGAGTAATGATGTGAATTTTTCCTTATTTATTTGTTTTATGTTATAAAATAATTTAGTTTGTTTCTTTTACTACAACATTTAGTTTGTTCATAAATTTTTATATGTAAATCATTATTTAACAGTTAATACATAGTTTGTAGTTGGAAATCTTTTCACAACATCTATCCAATAACACTAATATTGCATATATAAATTTGAAATTTAGTCTTATTTGTTTTTTAGGTTAGAGAATAGAGATAAAATATTATTTTCGCATTTCTGAACCACAGAGTGTGACTAAATGGATTTTCCTAATAATTTATATCGTTCTTTCATCTTAAAAATGTTTTTTCAATATAAAAGTTTTCATACTCATTTAGTTATTATTTGTTTAATAAGTTATTTATTTCAAATACAAAAAAGATAGTGAAAAAAACCCAAAAAAGTGTATAAATTTAAAAAAACGGCAAGTTTAAAGAAGTAAAAAAAAACTGAAAGAAATAAAACTAAATAAAAATAGAAAATTTTTAAAAATAAAAATTAAGGGTTAAAATAAAAAAATTAACCAAATTAAATAAAGTTTAAAATGAATTATTAATTTTAATTTAAAAAAGAAAAAATTAAATTAAATTTAAAATAGATAAATATTAATAAAAAATAAAAATTTTGTGATTATTAGAGTAGAGATGAAGTATTTCGTGAAGTACTTCGACTGTTAATTGTTGAGTGAGTGAAAGGATGAGTTCGGTACACATTTGGACTGGGTGAATGAAATAAAATTGTGTAATTACAGGCCCCCGCTTGCTCTGTACGAAATATTATTCCAGATTCATAGAGGAATTCACTTAGATTCGAATCCCAATAGAGAAATTAACTCATTTCGCGTTATTAAATTGAGAAAATATGAACAAATAATATATAGTACTCTCTAATAAGTAATACGTAACATTATTTTTTTCGTGAAACCAAAATAAATAAATTTTTCCATATTATTGAACAAGAAATATGAAGAGTGATAGAATTACATCAAATTTGTATACCAAGAACGATATGCACCTAAAATGCACCAAAAGCACAAAAGAAGCATTCTTCCCGGGGGGCAGTTACTCTAGTTGGCACTTGGCAGTAGCCACCCGCTTTATTTCAAAGAACTTTATTAGAAAAGATCGTTTTAAAAGTTTACTCTAATAAATATTTGTGCATCTTACAGATAATTATTATCAGTATGTGACTGTAATACATACTTCCTCCATCCAAAAAGATTGCAACATCACACTAAACAAAGTAATTTTTTGAATTTTTTCAATTAATTTTATTTAAAGATTGGCATAGAAATAAAAAATTAAAATTTACATATCTAAAAACTACGTCAAAAGTTCTACAAAACAAGAAATGAAAAGAATATTTTACTTTTTAAAATAATCAATAAAATGAAAAATAAACAAAAGTTTTTGTAATTTCTAAATAGTAAAGTGTGTCAATCTTTTTGGAACGTAGTGAAAATGACTAGCTTCTTTTCAAAAAATAACCGTCTAAGAGTAAAAATTTGTTAGTGGAGAGTGTGCAATGGAAGCCACTCTCCGCGTCTCAAACTTCTCAAATAAGGAAACCAAAAACTTCTCAAACACTGAAATTCAAAACTTTTCATGTAGTTTTTTGATATGTAATTTTTATTTTTTATTTTTTTATCAATATGTAAATAAAATGAATTGAAAAAAATTTAACATTTTGCATCAGTAATAAAAATGTGACAAATAATTAGGGACGGAGAGTGTATTATTTAGGTTTGGTTAAGAGAGATATTATTAGCGCCAACGAAATTGAGTTTCGCCATTTCAGGAGCCTTTCAAATTCTAGGGCTTTTCCCCCCCATCTCCC